ATGAGCTTTTCTGCATTCGTTTTCCATCCATTGAAAGTAAGTATGATTTAGATGACTTTCAATTCATTGTTAGTTGCTATTGGTTAGTTACTTATAACTGATTTGCCAATTTCAATTTCAATTTCAATTACTGTTTCATATTTTTATTCACTCAAGGCATCTATAGTTTATAGCTGTTTTATTTCCTCAATTTGAACTCCTAATAATTTAAACACGTCGTATTGTTCTGCACCTAGTATCCTCCCTCAACATTAGCATTATGAATGCTTTGTGATTCTGAAGTATCTTTTGATGAGTTCTTTGCAAGAAAAGTTGAGGCACATTCACTTCTTGTACTAGACTGCATTGTGATGTGAACTTTTGTTTGTAAGATTTCATAACATCAACTTATTGGACTTGTGCTCATTTGATGCATTTCATTTGATGGGCTTGAGCCCGAATGGTGAAACAGTCATGTTGTGTAGTGTCGTTAAGTGAATGTATTAGATATCTAGACATGTGTTTGGTTTCAAAGAGTGTTTGGTAAAACAATTTAGTTGGTGAAGAAAGTTTGGGTACATTTTGTATCAATTCAATTTGTGTTGGATTACTTGATTTCTCTCAACTTATAAAAACTAAACTTTACAGTTGTGTTTTAAGTGATTTGTTTTCTACATCAACTGCAGAATGGTTAGGTAGTTTTTTTGTGAAGTGTCATTAAGTGAATGTATTAGATATCTAGACATGCCTCTGGTTTCAAAGAGTGTTCAGTAAAACAATTTAGTTGGTGAAGAGAGTTTGGGTACATTTTGTTTCAATTCAGTTTGTGTTGGATTGCCTGATTTCTTGACTCATTAAAACTGAACTTTACAATTGCATTTTAAGTGATTGGATCCTAGAAGCAGCAAACAATCACAATATCTTACAGATTTGAAATGCCAATTTATCCATTGTCAAACAGCTATATTTATAAATAGTAAGACACATATTTAGATGTTTTGATGATTACCTAAAGGCATGAAATAATCTCATCTCAACACATGTTTTCTATTTCTCCCTAGTTTGAATGACATTTATAATTTCATTTTCATGGTTAAAGTTCTGAATGTAAGGTTCCTGACTGGTCTATATGTTTTTTATTACTGCAAATCAAATATGAGGATATCATAGATTCTTATTTGTAAATTTCTGTTGTATATGATAGCACAGTTTAAATTTCTCTCGGTATTACTCACGTTTAGGAATTTTCTTTTACCTTTTTTCTGTGCAATATCTGTTACATACTCATTATCAACATCATCAACATAAATTTGAAGATCACAACCACACAAGACTGTTTACGCAATGAATGTACTTTATTTTATTTGTAGTTCATTGTAGGCAGTTCCGGGCCCGAAGGTGCTCTTGCTGATGATCAAGATTTCTATTACCTGTACATAGGCTGTATGAAAATTGCTTTAGTTAATATTATTGTGAAGGTTATACACTCCAACTTTCAAATTCAATGATTCAGCCCATACTTGTCGTCAGTGTTTGGGTGGATGATATATAGGAGTACTGCCGGGATAGTTCTATAACTGAACATCTTTATATTGTTACATTGTGTGTAAACTCACCATTGCTTTGTCTTTCTTTCAGATTGTAAAAGCTTTATGGAAACATTCCAAGAAGTTGCCGAGTCCCAAAAACAAGTTGATGACCAAGAATCATCTGCAGCAGCTACCCTTATTGAGAAATTAAGTGTTGATGACAAGGCTGCTGATGCAGAGAAGAAAGATGAAGAGCAATCTGCGGAAAAAACTGAGAAGTCTGCGGAAAAAACTGAGAAGCAAGCATCAGGTGAGACCAGTAAGGCAGATGCAGATAAAAAAGTTGAAGAGCCTACTGCTTGAGTATTATTTATTAATATTTCATACTATGCAATCTGATTAGGTTGTGGTTGAGTTTTTTCTGTCCATGTCTTTGGATACTGTCATACTTAATGGTTGCCAGATTGTCATTGTCGTTCAATTGAACTGTTTGTGTCCTTGGGTTTTTTCAGCAAGTGAGATTAGGGTTGGGTGTGAATTTTGAGACTTGAACTTGTTGAGCTTTTGGGGTCTGTGAGTTTATTGTTATTATTTTCATTCTACATATGTATTTGTTATGGGTAATGAGTCGTGTTGGTTGGGAGGGGTAGTCGGGAATGGACAAAGTCATAAACAAAGGTTTTGTTTACAATTCGATTGAGTTCCATATTTTGGTTATAGACATTTAGTCATTTATTTTATTTTTAATCAGAGTTTTCTTTTTGTTTCGGTGAAATTCATCAACTTTTAAAAGTTACAACTGAGTCTCTTATAAATTGGTGATTGGTTTATTGTGCAATAATAAGTTCGGTGAATGGTTGTTCAGTTGTTTGGATGAGAATATTTATATGATATACAACATGAGAATTTGTTAACACCAAAAAGAAATAGTCAAGGAAGATTGAAGAGGCCTATAACAATGTTTAAGATGGGTTTCAACGTATCTAATTTGGAGTAACATATTTAAATATAAAGGAAACTTGGACAATTGTAGGAAGATTGTAATTTATTCACGGCTAGGGTGGGTGGAAACTTGAGGATCGATGTTATGCAAGAAAAGGAGACTTTGAATTTGATCTTTTTTTATGGTACAAATTGGGATTTTCCACCATTGTTTTTTTTAAAAGATTTGAACTTTGCATGATTTTAAAGACGTGCTAGTGGATTCAACAGCTAATACTGTAGGGTCTGGTAAAGTATCAATTTGCAACTGTCTTTGTTGGAGTTTCATAGAGTACACTTTGGAACACTTTGGAAAGAGGGGGAATGGGGTCAAAAGTAAGATGTGAGATCTAACAAGAAAGTAGTTATTGTTTTCTTGAAGAAAATAAAGTAGTAAATCGTGGTTTCTATACTAATTGATGGTCTTAAAAATGTTGCAAGCGTAATTGGAGATTGAGAGGAAATTAAATAGTTAATGAAAAATGTTCTTCAAATAGGTAAAATAGATAGTAATAGAGGATTCACCTTATTTAGTGGAGGAAAGATCCTGGGTATCTGAAAGATTCTAACAAAATTACCTTAGGAGAATATTTGTTTGAGTTCTTTCCAAATGGAGGAGGAATCATCGATCTTAATAATGCTAATCACAATTTATAGAGAAATCGAATGATAGTGCCACAACATTATCATAACACGGTTATAAAGATATCATGCATTAGTTTTTTGGTCGTTATGATCAATTTTTTAACCATATTTCAAAATCTATTTGTCACTAGACATGCCTCAACTTCAACCAACTAATTAAAATATCAAACGATATCCGATTCGAGTATCAAACATGTTATCCAAGTAACTTCAATACATAATAGAAGGGTGAATTTCGATATAAAAAGTCTTCAAAGACTTAAGAAAATAAATTGGTTTTAGATGAATTTTAAAAAAAGAGTGAATTTCGATATAAAAAGTCTTCGAAGACTTAAGAAAATAAATTGGTTTTAAATGAATTTAAGAAGAGGGTGAATTTCGATATAAAAAGTCTTCAAAGACTTAAGAAAATAAATTGGTTTTAGATGAATTTTAAGAAGAGGAGTAAAAGAAGAAGAGATGAACAAATGAAAATTACAAGAAAATAAAGAATTAGAAGATAAGAGAAGAACACCAAATTTTATTCTGATTCGATCCAAACTATGGGACCTATATCTATCCTCCAAGGATAACACTTGGAGATTTCCACTATCACGTAAATTTTAACACATGATCAATCTAGGACCTTTTTTACATCAAGATGTTATCTCAGATTTAATTTACAACTTTTACACTTGTAATAAATCAAGAGAACAATCCTATCTTAGTTTACGATTTTAGAATTGAGTTAAAATAACCGATTGCATACTCCCTCCTATCACTATTATAAACAAAAAAAAATGACATTAAATTTTGGTATCTATTATAAACAAAAGTGATTCACTTTTAGATTAATTAATATTTATATTATTATTATTATAGCTATAATTTAATTAAAAATATTTAATATTGGTAGTTGATTTATTAAATATAACTAAAGATATGATAGTAAATTTTATTTTGACTATATGAAATCAAGAAAATTAATCACACTTAACTAACTTTCTTATCAATATGAAAATAGTTATTTTTGCTTATAATTATGAGCGAATGGAATAAGTTGTAACATTAAATAGTTACTCTTTTGACTAAAATAATATTAAGTGTATAAGAAATTTTAGGAAAGTTGAGAGTAGAGAAGAAGACATTTTCTGAAAACTTGTGTGTTTTGAAATGAACACGAGACTTTCTTTTAAAATAAAATATTTAGACCAATTTATAAATTTTGGAAGGTCTAGATCTGGTTCATAATCGATTAGACTACGACTATAATTTATTATGATCTAGCAAATAAGAAAAAATTGTTGGATCGGAAGCACAATCAATTACTAGGTCTCCATAATTGATTACTAAACAAATTTCACCTCATAATCAATTAGACAAGTTTCATAATCGATTATAGGTATAGTTTCACTATATAATCGATTATAAAGACATCTTAATTGTTATGATTCGTTTAAAATGTTTTGGCCCAATCTAAAGTGATTTTTAGAAGATGTTTGAAATAGAAGAAATTTTGAAAAAGAAGTGTGTGCGTGTGTGGACGACTTTAATACTTTGATAGTAACACACTCAATTTTATATTTATTGATCCTAAAAAGAGCATAACTGATCAAATTAATATATGGTGAGCTTTTAGCAGATAAGTCAATATCTTGGTGTTGATCTTTTGTATTTGATTCTTTTAAGTTAATTATCAAAAAATTCTCGCTTTTTAATTTAAGTTAATCTTTCTTCTTAATTTGTTGTTATTTTGCTATTTTATTTTGATCTCATTTGTCATCATAAAAACATGTTAAGTTCATATAACTATATTCTCTTTCTTTTTGATGATGATAAGTCACCTCTCAGAAAAGTGGATTATAATAAAGGTTAAGATAAAAATAATTTTGAATTTTAAACCTCCTTATAGATATAACGAGTATACTCTCATGATTGTTTACTTTTCTAATTTTACATTATCAAAAAGCAGGAAACATGAACGAAGAAGGTGCACATTGAACATATTCAATGCATGACTAATTCAATATTCCTAACTCAATTCTTATAAAAAGTAAATTTTGTTTAGGAAGAGGATTGGCAAAAACTTCTGCTATTTGATTAGTTGAATTGAAAAACTCAATTACATAATCTGTTTTTTTTCAACACGATCCTTGAGAAAATAGTGTCTAATCTCACTGTGTTTCGTCTCAGAGTGAAGTAACAAAGTTTTAATGAGGTTTATGGTATTAGTGTTATGACGCTTAATTAGGATAATTTCGAGAATTATCCGCAACAATGTATTTTGCTTCAGCATGGATAAAGAGATACTTGTTTGTTTCTTTCCATGTCAAAAGATCAGAATCAATAAGATAAAGTAAATAATTGATCATACCTATATATTTACTTTCTTCTACTGATTTTACTCCCTCTTATTTATCTATGCAACTTGATATACTCATGGGAGTTGATATTTCTTTGACATTTTCCATTTTAAATCTTTTTAAGAGTTCTTTGCAATACTTTGTTTAATTTATAATGTTTCTTTCTTGTTTGTTGTGGTTGTAAACCAATGAAGTACCAAGGTTTTCCTATCATTAACATTTTGAACTCAATTTGCATCATATTAAAATATTCCTTACACAAAGATTTGTCAATAATACCTAATTAATATCGTCATCACAGTTTTTTACAATTAAAATGTCATGTTTATGTTTTTTGATGAAAAACTTGTATAAACCTTTTTTCTTTAAAAATTATTTTCAAGTAGAAATTTGTTCAAACAATTATACCAAACTCGAGGGACATGTTTTAAACTGTAAAGAATCCTTTTGAGCTTGAAGACATGATTAGGAGAAGAGATGATTTTAAATCTGAGAGGTTCATCAACACAAAATTTCTCTTTGATGTAACCATTTAAGAACACACTCTTTACATTCATTTGGAAGAGTTTAAAATTCATGATGCAAGAAAAAGAAAAAACATTCTTATGGATTCTAATTAGGGGTGAGAATAGGCTCGGCCGAGCTAGACTTTACCAAGCCTGACCCTGGCCTGCTAAAAAATTCAAAGCATAAGGCTGACATGTGGCCTATCATAGACTTATTTTTTAGTCTGAGCCTGATATTTTCAAAAGCCTGATTAGCCTAATAGTCTGCTTAAAAATTCTATATCATTTGAACATATGTAAATAAGAAATTCAACTAATGTTTAAATATACTAGAGAATCAAAAGTACAATGAGACAAAATGCTTGTTTATATTGATTTATTTGAGCTTATATAGTAACATAAGTTTTGTGATATTATTTGTTTGGGAGAAATCATGAAAACAACTTATGACATTATTCATTAGGTTTTTTCAACTTATTTTCACAAGTTCTTCAAGATAACTAAACTTTACTTTTGTATTTTAATATAAAGTATAAAATACAATATAAGAAATAATAAATTTATTCATATTTATTATAATAGTCTGGCCTGAAAGGCTTAAAAGTCTATTTTTATGACATGTGGTCTAACCTATTTAACTAAATACGCTTTAAAAAAGCCTATGCATTTTCTACTTAAAAAAGGTCTAGCCTGACTTTAGCATGTATATATTAGGCCGTAGGCCCCTGATAGTTAACCTGTCCTATTCCCACCCATCATTAAAATATATGTCTTCCTTTTGATTGTATAATTTCACAACAAGTATTTACTTGTTTCTTAAAATTGTTCCATTTTTACTAAGTTTGTTGCTAAAGACCCATTTGATTCCTATCACTAAATTAGTCCTAAGTTTGGGAAGAAGTTTTCAAATATTATTTCTCTCAAATTGAATTAACTCTTCTTGCATAGGAATAGACAAATGTTCATCAATGAGAGTTTCATTAACCTTCTCTGACTCAATTTTGGAAACAAAAGCCATAAATTACATATCTAGTTTAGAGAGTGTCGAGTAGTTACCCCTTTTAAAATGTCTATTATTACATTTTGTATTGGATAGTCTGTTGCGATTTTTCACTCTTTGGGTAACTCTTGACGAGTTTCTTCATTTGTATCTTTGTTTTTATTTTCAATCACTAGATTAGTTCTAAGTTTGGGAACAATTTCTCAAATATTATTTCTCTCAAATTGAATTAACTATTCTTGCAACGGAATAGACAAATTTTCATCAATGAGAGTTTTATTGACCTCCTTTGGCTCAATTTTAAAAATAAAGCTATAAAATTACACACCTGATTTAGAGAGTGTCGAGTAGTTACTCCTTTTGAAATGTTTATTATTACATTTTGTATTAGATGGTATCTTGAAGTTTTCCACTCTTTCTGTAGATCTTGACGAGCTTCTTCATTTGTATTTTTGTTTTTATTTGAATCTTTGTTTTCATTTGTATCTTTGTCCAAGTCTTTATTTATATCTTTGTCTTTTAAGAGAGTTTTCTCCAAAAATACACGTACAATCAAAGACTTAACCTCTACTACAAAACTGGGATTAATCAAAGATAATGTGTATGGATTCTTCTATAATAATGATTCAATTTTTATTAATACAAAAAGTTGTTTACTAGAAGTGGAGTAACCATGAAAAAGACTTTCATTACCTTTAGCATCAAATTTAGTAAGATTATCCCTCCCTTTATTAAGGACAAAACATTTTTAAGAGACCATCCTTTAAGTATAAGTTTTGGTACCCAAATAATTTTGAGTCCTTTAGCATTAGTGAAATACATATTATTTTTAGGAGTCCATTTCACATTAGTTTCGTGATTTTTCCTTATGAAGCAAGATGAAGAAGTAGAGGTCTATTTCATATTATTTTCATCATGGTTAACTATATTTTTGGTCCTTATAAATAATCCATAATTCGATTTTAGTCACTATAATTTTTTTTCAAAGAATGATTCTCTTAAAATTTTTCGTCCACACTTTTGGTCTCTATCGTCTATTTGGTTTAATTGAAGCTGACATGGACTTACATATGGCATTTTTTTTAAAAGTTATTGAATAATCAACCAACACGTTAAACATATTTGATAAGAAGATATAGAATCACAATGTTTTCGATTTGGTTATTTTGAGATTAAATACATATATTTACATTGTAGCAAAGAACTCTAACATCTCTCTCCATTCTAAATGTTCGTATTTATTCATGCTATTGTTTCAAAACTCATTTCCAGTTTGCATTAACTTATTCCCATAGTTTTCTTTTTCAGCCTTTGAGACACCAAATAGAAGGATTTCACGTTTGCGAGAAGGAAAAATCACTACTTTTTCTTGTGGTCTCAAACTATGTGTATTGAAAGGTGTTTGTGGTCCAAGCTGCCATTTATGGTACCTCAACATTGAACATCATATTAGTCCACATGTTTAACTTTAAAAAAATATTTTTTAATGAATATGAATCTAGGATTTACCATTTGTGTCATAATCTATTATTTTTTCTAAAAAGTATTTTGTAGATCGTGGGTTCAATGTTGGATTGCGATTTCAATTTTAGAATGCATTGGATTTCAATTTGACTGTAGTTGACCAATGTTGACCCAATTTACTGCATGTATTTTGTATATATATGAGTTTATTTAAGGTAGTATTCTACACCAAGGGTTATTTTGTAAAAGACCCTATGCTAAGGTATGAGGGAAGTCTATGCATTAAGTGGACAAGATCCTAATTCATGGTCCTTTTTTTAGGCGTGTGGTTTAATAAAGGGAATGAATCCTGGATTTGAACATAAGGTTGTGAAAATATGGTGAAAACATGATGATGGTAGTTTAGAAGATGATTTAAGCCCTTTAGGGATGCTGGAGATGCACATGAGTTAACTACATTTGTTGAGAATTATAAATGTGAGGTTGAAATCTACAATGAGTCAAAACCAAATGTAGCGGAACTAACTTTGATGGAGAAAGTAAGAGAGAGAAGCAAGGGAAATAGTGAAGCAGATGTTGAATCATCTAATGATTCTAGTTACGAGTCTGTCAAGGGTATATTTGAAGATAATGAAAAAGAATGAATGAATGGATTTGATGAAGGTTTTGATGAGAGTTTTGTTGTAGATGGTGCAACCACAAGTGAGACAATCATCCATAGTTTGATCATGCCAGAGATTGGTAGGGAACATGTAATAGAAGAAAAATATATGACTGATGAACTTGATAGAGGGGTTGAAGATGACAGGCCCAACTAATCCAAACATTATAGGCCCAACTAATCAGGAGACTATACGCCCAACTAACACAAATGCTTAAACTGCACTAGATGCTCATACTACACTAAATGCTTAGGCTGAAACTGCAACTTAAGCTTCAGTTGATCAAGAACCTGGTTTGAAAAGATACCCTAGGATAAAGCATGCTATATTATCATCATTGTTGAATGATGTCAACAATGAAAACAATGTCTTACTTGACATTCAACCTTTAAGTATTGACAGTAGCCATGCCAAACCAACACTTCCTACAAACCCAACCCCTTTAATTCATCTGGTGTCATAACCTTCATTGGTAAAACACCCAAAGTGGTTAAGTTCAGAGCATTCAAGCCTCCAGGAGTAATGGTGGAGATGAATTAAGAATTTATATATATATATATATATATATATATATATATATATATATATATATATATATATATATATATATATATATATATATATATATATATATATATATATATATATATATATATATATATATATATATATATATATATATATATATATATATATATATATATATATATATATATATATATATATATATATATATATATATATATATATATATAAACACTACTACATAAAACACATATAATAACGGTAGTGCGTCCGTTGTTAGGTACGGTGTGATTGTATGTATGTCGGTTACCATCACGAGCGTATGATCGTTGCGATAACCTAGGTAGTGCATTCTATATCACAATAGTCAAAGTAAACAATCGTTGTGATATAAAGAGAAATGTCATTGGTTCGATACCCAGTGATTGTATGGTTATTTATTTTCCGCTCATTCTATAACAATGGTTAGTATAATAATTGTGATTAAATATTTTTTTTTAATTTTAGTTTTATTTTTCCATATATTACAAAGCTGTATTTTTGTCATAATTCACTTGTACACAAATTATCAGATATATTATAACCTACACACAAAATAAATAACTTGTATATTATAGATATATTAGTTAAATATGCACAAAAATGTCATACATATATTAAGCAACAAAAATAAATTTACAACCATCAAAGACAAAGTCATGATAAAATACCCCCCCCCCCCCCCCCCCCCCTTTTCAATCAACATGTTAAACATAAACACCCAATGTTTATGGACGTCTTCTAAGTCATCGACAAAGAAGGGTGTCCTGTTGTTGAATATCTATATAAGAAAGTGAAAAAAATTGAATACCACGTCTTTTGAATTATAATAACAAATTACTTTAACATTAATATGTTATTTGTAAACACATTTCATGACATTCTATATACCTTATCCAACGAATCAACAATGCCAACAGAGAAAATGTTATACATGTGTTTCATCACATAGTATCCACACTTCATCCCTCTAGTTGTCTCCTAGTCTATAAATTTAAGCATTTTGCATGAATATATATAACCATACATTTCATGAATATATATAAGTTAATGTCACGTGTTATCCACTTACCTTGGGCTCACAAAATTGGAGATTTTTTCTAGAGTTGTTCATCATATAACGTCTCTCCACAATACTGTATAAAATAATCAAAGATAATTACAAGTTATTACACGCTAAGATCCTATCAAATTCAAAGAAAAAAATTAATAAAAGTATCATAAACCTAAAGTTACCGAGTAATGATATGTTTCATTATAGGTTCGAGTTGTCTGTTTAACGAACACAACGTAGTTACCGTATTCGTCTGAAGATATATGATAATCAATTGAAAGTGATCTTTGAATGAATAATACAAGCATATATAGTTATTATTTGGTAAAACATGAAATAGATAAACCATTATTTTAAAATTATATTCACTTATGGAGGAATGATGCTGTTAGAATTAATTTAGATTTAATTAGATATTAATTTATATTTAGGAATATCTTTTAGATTGTTTATATCTTTGTTAGAAGATTTATATCTTAGATCTTCTTAGATCTTTGTAGAAGATATATTTTAGATTTAATTTTGTGTATAAATATCCTAGTGGAGTAGGTTATTGTAATTAATTGTAAATCCTTATTTTGAAGCTATTAGTAAATATTCCTTTTTCCTTTTATCTTCCTTGTGCACCAACAATTGGTATCTAGAGCTCCGGTTCGAAATCCACAGGAAAAGAAATATTGTGATTAAGAATTACAATATTCTGATTCTGGGTTTTTTTTGAGAAAACATTGATTTGGGAAACTCTGCGTAAATTGCATAAGGTAGAAGATAAACGGAAACGATGGCGATATACATTCCAAGCTTCCAGTATTTGATGGTAAAAATTGGAATCGTTGGAAGATCCAGATGCGCGTGTTATTTGGTTCTCAAGATGTGTTAGAACTTGTTACTGATGGCTATAATATGTTAGAAGCAGATGCAATAGAGGCCCAGAAGATAGCACATAAGGCACCGAGGAAGAGAGATCAGAAGGTGTTGTTCTACATCCATCAATGTGTGGATGCGAATGTGTTTGAGAAGATTTCTGATTCTGAAACAGCGAAGGCTGCATGGGACACACTGGTCAGATGTTACGGTGGTAACGCAACAGTGAAGAAGGTGAAGCTTCAGTCTCTTAGAAAGAAATATGAGAATCTCAACATGAAGGACAACGAGAAGGTTTCTGAATACATCTCTAGAGTGATTCTGATCACTAATGAGATGAAAGCTTGTGGAGAAACTCTATCTGAACAAGTAATCATTGAGAAGATCTTGAGATCTTTAACATATCAGTTTGATTACATTGTGGTAGCAATTGAACATTCTAAATATCTGAGCACCATGAGAGTTGAAGAGCTGCAAAGTAGTCTAGAGGCGCATGAGTTGCGTATGACTGTAAGAACTTCTGAGAGGGAAGTAGAGCAACAGGCTCTGAAAGTAACTTCTGGTAAGAAGCATCAGAAGCAGACTTGGTCAGAATCCAGGAAGAAAACTAATGGTGGTCAAAAGCCAGAAGTTTCAAATTATGATAGGAAGAAGAATTTCCAGAAGGGAAAGGAGAAGTATGACAAGAAGAATGTTAAGTGTTACTGTTGCAAGAACTTTGGTCACTATGCCAGAGATTGCTGGTCCAATAAAGAAAGGAAGTCATAAGAAGAAAATATAACAAGAGGAGACTCTGATGATGAACCTGTGCTATTGTTGGCTTCTGAACCTGATGATCTGAATTCATCAGAATGATGGTATATGGACATAGGGTGTTCAAACCATCTTACTGGAAACAAGAAGTGGTTGGTTGACTTTGACTCTGGGAAGAGTACAAAGATCAGATGTGCTGATGATAAATACCTCAATGCAGAAGGTATGGGAAATGTCAGAATCATTCTAAACAATGGGAAAGCAGCAGTGATCCAGAATGTTTGGTATGTACCTGGCATGAAAAGCAATCTGATGAGTGTGGGACAACTGGTTGAGAAAGGTTTTTCAGTTACCATGAAGGAAAATCTTCTGAAGCTGTATGACTGTAATCAGAAGCTGATTATGGAGTCAGAGCAAGGAAGGAACATAACATTCAAGGTGAATGTTAGAACTGCAGACTATGAATGTCTTAGTGCAACAAGTATTATCAAGGAGAGTGAGCTGTGGCACAGAAGATTTAGTCATATGAATTTCAGAAGTTTAGGGCATCTGAAATCAAAGAATCTGGTACATGGAATTCCTACAATCAAGAAGCCTGAAAAGTCATGCAAGGTGTGCATGGAAGGGAAGCAACCAAGATTACCCTTTGCATCAGAAGTAGCTCCAAGAGCAAAACATGCCTTGGGAGTAGTACATTCTGATGTGTGCGGTCCGTTTCCAGTAGCATCGACTGGAGGGAATAAATACTTTGTGTCATTTGTTGATGAGTTCACCAGAATGACATGGTTATCTCTCATAAAGTTCAAACACGAGGTGTTTGCTGAATTCAAAAAGTTCATACTGAAGGCTGAGAATCAGAGTGGCCAGACTCTGAAAATTCTTAGAACTGATGGTGGTGGTGAGCATAACTCCACAAAATTCAGAAGTTTTTGCGAGGAGAATGGAATTGAGCATGAGGTTACTGCTCCATATACTCCTCAACACAATGGTCTTGCTGAAAGAAGAAATCGTACTTTACTAGATATGGTGAGAAGCATGCTGAAAGAGAAGAAGCTTCCTCATACTCTGTGGGGAGAAGCTGTTGCAACTGCATGTTATGTGCTCAATAGATGTCCAACAAATAAATTAAAGGAAATAGTTCCTATTCATAAGTGGACTGGAGATAAGCAAAATGTTAGTCATCTGAAGGTGTTTGGTTCTGTATGTTACAAACATGTCCCAGAAGACAAAAGACAGAAGTTGGATGATAAAAGTAAAGTGATGTTGCTGGTGGGGTATCACAGTACAAGTTCGTATAAACTTTATTGTCTAGAAACTAACAAAGTTGAGTTCAACAGCGATGTCATTGTAGAGGAATCAGAAGTTTGGAATTGGGAAAAGTCTCGTCCTGACTCTAATGACAGAACTTCTGAAGAAAGGTCAGAAACACATGTTTCTAAAGCTGGTAAAGACTCTAACTCTGAAGAAGATACAGAAGGAGAAGATGATTCTGACTCTAACTTCGATGGTGATCCAGAATCTGAAGACAGTCAAGGTTCTAGAGAAAGTCCAATTGCTGAAGCAAGTGCTTTTGAAGGGGAAAGTTCTGGTGTCCAAAGTTCTGAAGGTCCAGTTCAGAGGCAACAAAGAGTCAGAAGCATCCCAAGAAGATTTGCAGTGTTTGACATGTTGCTAGACACTGAAGTAAACTCTGAAGGAGAAGTTATTCAGTGTGCAATGTTAGTAGACTCTGAACCCGTGAGTACGAAAGAGGCTCTTAAGCAACAAGTTTGGTTACATGCCATGAAAGAAGAACTTGGTGCTATAGAGAGAAATAAGACTTGGAAGCTAACATAACTTCTAAAAGGCAAGAAAGCCATCAGCCTCTGATGGGTTTTCAAGAAGAAGCTAAATCCAGATGGATCAATTGGAAAACACAAAG